TTGATTTTACCTTTCATTAAGATGTCATCTGTGTAATTGGAAAGAGCAGCCTCCCCCTGGGTTTTATTCCTAGAGTTAAGTGCAACAAGTATTTTAGAAAGTTTAGGGCCTGGTGAAGCCAGGATTGGACACAGGGAGACAGTATCATCAGACAGGGGTGCTGGATGTATCTTCAGCACCTGAGGCAAGAAGGACCCAATAGTCTCTGAGGGAAGTGATGGAATGGGGTGGGATTAATAGGGAAACTAGAATTTGGTGGTGGGGTTATCACGGAGAACTTTGGGGATGCAGTATCTCTTTAAACTGACCCTGTCAGGGAAATCTCAGGGAATCTGATCCATCCATCACAACAGCAGCAAGGGATTGGCTAAATTTCTTAGCTACAGACAGGAGATGGGAGTTTAAACTGAGAAGGACGAATTTCTAAGAAACAGGGAAAGCTCTGGCATCCCAGCCTCCAGTAGTCCCGGGGAGAGTCTCTGGCYGACCCTCTCTCCTATCATTGCTCTGAAAGTCGCTCTGGCTGAGGGTAAGATACAGGGAGGGAGTCTGTCCCCAAGGTTGCTCTTCTGCCCTCCTAGAGTGCTGCAGGTTGGGTGGGGGTGTGTGGGGAGGGTCAGTTCTGCCACAGGGAGTGGCCCAGAGGTTGTGCTGACAGTCTTGCCCCCAGGGCTGATGGGTGCTACACCAGCCCTGAGCTCCATCTGAAACCCTGACACAATGATCACAGTGATGGAGCCCCTCCCCTCATGGTTCTGATGCTGGTGTTGCAGGTTGGCATGAGGCCACAGCTCCTGCCACACTGGGGCAGAGGAAAGGCATCTCATCGCATGSTGGGCTGTGCAGTAGTGGGCCACCACCAGCCCCAGGGAAAGAGCAGACCAGAATCCTAGCAGGTGTGGACTGGCAGAGACAGTAGAACTGAGTGATGGACCCTCTGTTGGACCATGAATCAAGGGTCTTAGCAGAAGCCACAGCCATAGCCACTGCCCTGGTTGAGTGTCTCCCCATGGGCATGGGTCTGGTTGGCATCTTGGTGATATAATTRCCACATTCGGAGCAGAGGAAGGGATGCTTCCTATGAAAGCCTTCCTCTGGTGGGTGAAGCTGGGTTCCACCTCACAGGTAGGACATGTGTAGGGCTGCTCACCTGTGTGTCCAGTGATGTGCTGCAACAGGATGGAGCTCAGGGGAGCAGCCCATGCCACCCTGGTTGCAGTGACAGGGGGACTCTGACAGGGTGGGAGCAGGTGTGTGCTGTGGCAGGAGCTATGGCCATACTCTCTGCAGGARTAGGGCCTGCCACAAGTGTGGGAGTATAGGGATAGAGTCAGGGAGCTCCTTGGGTGAAGCACTTCCCACATTGGGGCCGGGAAAGGGCCTCTCACCCAGGCTGTGCTGGGAGGGATGGGAGGAGGAGGCTCTACTTTCCAAGCAGGAAGGAGGCTTTGTATGGGGCAGGGGGACCCTATTAGGTAAGGTGTGAAGGGTCAGAGTGACAGCTGAGAAGGATGCTAGAGTAGGGAGCTGGGGGTCTTCCCTGCCCTCTCCTCCTCCTTTTTGTTCCTGGCCTGAGGTGACAGCAGCACTGGGAAGGGGGAAGCAGAGGAGACAGAGGTGGGAGATAAGAAGCTAAGTTTCCCCAATTAAAGGAGTAACTGGGGGTCCTGGGACACAGTGGTGCATGCCTGTAATCCCAGCAGCTTGGGAGGCTGAGGTAGGAAGATCGTGAGTTCAAAGCAATTTAGTGAGGCCCTAAGAAACTCAGTGAGACTCTGTCTCAAAATAAAATGTAAAAAAGGGCTGGAGATGTGGCTCAGTGGTTGAGTGCCCCTGGGTTCAATCCCCAGTACAAAAAAAAAAAAAAAAGAAAAAAAAAAGAAAAAGAAAGAAAGAAAAAGTAACTGGGGTGTTGGTGACCCCTCCCTTCTTCCCAAGCTATACTGCTATACTGTGGGGTTGACGGAAGAACCTGGAGCATGACTTTTCCTGTGAACAGTTTACAAAGGAGCTAAAAAGGCTGCCAGGCAAGGACAGGACTGAATAAGGCCTTCCATGGGCAGGGGTTCAGACACAGGACCCACTGCATAGGACCTGGTTTGGGGTCTGAGAAGCCTGAGAGAGTAGAATGGAGGTGGGCTTAAGGGAGAGAGAAGTTCCCCACCATTTTCCTGCCCTAGGCAGGAAGTCTTCTCTTGATCACATACCACCCATAGCTATGCCCCTGCTCTGGAGAGAAAGGAGCTCAGCTGGGGGTGTAGCCTGGATTCAAGCCTCAGCACTGTGTGTGTGTGTGTGTGTGTGTGTGTGTGTCTGTGTGAAGGAGCCAACCTTTCACTGAGCACACTCTGCAGTGGTTCTCAGCCTGTTGTGCACATCAGAATCACAGGGGGCTTGTTAAAGCAAAACTGCTGCCCTCATTTCCAGAGATGCTTTTTTCGCTTTCTCTCTCTCTCTCTCTCTCTCTCTCTCTCTCTCTCTCTCTCTCTCTCTCTCTCTTTCAGTATTGGGAATTGAACACAGGAGCATTTTAATACTGAGCTACATACCCAGTGTTTTTAGTCTTTCTTTTCTTCTCTTTCTCTCTTTCTCTCTCTCTTTCTTTCCTTTCTTTCTTTCGTCTTAATAAATTTCCCAGGTGGTCTCAACCTTGCRGTCCTCCTGCCTTAGCCTGCCAGGTTGCTGGGATTATACCAGTGCACTCAGCTACTTCCAGAGTTCTCATGCAGCTGATTTGGGCCCAAGTGTTTGCATTTCTAACAAGTTCCCAGGTGCCCATGAAGCTTCTGGTSGGTCATCCACACAGGAAGGACTGGTCTGTCAGGTATGTCATTCTACTTGTATTATCTCACTAAATCCTTACAGCAACCTGTTAGTCTGCCCTATTTTGTGGGTGAGAACACTGAAGTAAGATTTAGTGGCTTGTGCAAGATGGAGTGGAGATTTGAACCCAGGATGGTCTGACAATAGAGTTCACCTTTCTCTTTACCCTGCACCTTCATTGTTAGCTTTTCTCCTAGTATGTCTTATTCCTCAACAAAATAGCAGAGTTCCCTTTTGTATACTTTGTATCTTTCACCTTGCCTACCTCAGTAATGCAGAACAGACTGGGAAGGACTGAAGGATTTGGGAAGGAAATATCCCAGAAGAGCCAAGGGTGGGACAGACTTGGAGTCACCCATTACCCAGAGAAACGTTCTAGTAGGTCTCCCACATGATGTCATCTAAATACATAGCCATATTTGCAAAGTTCACAGTCACACGGGGGCAGGAGAGGGTGGGAAAGCATCCTAGCAGAGGAAACATGAGACATGGTGAGAAGAGAATGAGCCAACGGTGGTGACTGGGGAGCTGAGATAGAGGGACCAAGAGGGTGACGGACTGTTCTACAGTGAAACAAGAGCGAGGGACAACAGATACAGCGTAGGAAGCTGCGGGGGACCGGTTAGGGAAAAAAGAGGAGGGGGGGAGACACTTCCACTCCCAGCAAACCCTGCAACCAGGGTAAAAGCCCGGTTAGTTTGGATTCCCACCTTGGTATCTCACCAGGCTGCTTCCCACCTTGGAGCTTCTCTACCYTGGAGCTCGGAACAAGGCCCACCTGCGTATGACAACATGCCACACCCTGGACACTTGGGTCGGAGAGAAGGGGATTTCATATCGCAGGTTCCAGAGAGGCGGTGTGGAGGGGCTGCTACTAAGTGGCAGTGGGTGTTGTCCACTGGGCCGCACTGGGGCTCTAGTTCTGCGGTACTTGCTGGGAGCTGGAGGGTGCCCACCTGCGTCCGTCCACCTTATTTGAAAGTGCCAAGGACAAGGGGGAACAAATGAGAACTCCCAAGGAAGAAGCAGGGTGCCCTCCGGTCAGAGCGTGGCGGGGCGTGGGGCTGGGTGGCCCAGTGGGCTTTCTCTGCACAGCTGGACGCTTTGCCAGCGACACAAAACTGAGTGGGGAAACTGGGGGCAGACCGAGCGCCTGGAGCACTGTAAACAGGAAGCGAGGGGCAAAGGGGCTGGGTGGAGGGTGCGGTAGTGCCTCCTGCAGAGGGAAAGACTCTTCCCCGGCCCCGCGCTGACCTGGACTGCGCCATTTCCCCAGCCCCGGGTTTGGACCTGCCCCATCCCGCCCGCAGAACTCGAGGCCTGGAGGTTGCTGAGCCTTTTTTCGATGCCCCCACCGCTCTGCAACTTTGCCGTTTCAGCCCCTGCCCGGACAAGTACTGAACTACAACTCCCGGGCGCCCCTCCCGCCGCAGCCCGCCGGCTGGCACAGGCTGTGCGCTCCTAGGAACTGTGGTCTGCAGTCCTACCCACCCTGCCTMGGGAGGCAGCCCGACTCCCAGGTGGCAGGGATATCCACTATGGGTTTTTTCTTCTTTATTTTTGTACTGGGAATCGAAYTCAGGGGTGCTCTATCATGAGCCACATCCCAGCCCTTATTATTTTTCGAGTTAGGGTGTTCCTAAGTTGCTTAGGGCACTGCTAAATTGCCGAGGCTGTCCTCAACCTTCTGATCCTCCTGCCTCAGCCTTCGCAGTTCCTGGGATTACTGGYGTGCACCACCATACCACGGAGTTTTCTTTTCAGGGTCCTCCCATCTCCCTCCCTCTTTTTCTTCCCAGCTAAGGAAACCAGCTGGTGAGAAAGAATATCACCCTCCTGTCCTGTGGGCACCTATAAATATGCTTTACTCTAGAGCCACCATCCTGCTTTCCCTTTGGCATGGAAACTGGGTTTCCACCTGGGTGATTCAGGTTTTAGGGAGCAAGTTTCGAATCTGACTTCACACCTCCCCACTCTTCATTGTCTCTTTTCCAGACTCACAGATGGTTCCTTCCTATTTTTATGTAYATATTTTCTAATTTGGAGTTCAGAAAAAATGGGACTTAAACTCTGGAGAACCATTAGACATCTCCAAGGCTGATTCTCCATGATCTCTAGGCTTCCCTCCCCAGTCTTCTTCCTTGTATACCCCTGATAAACACACACACAACTGCAGGTTTCAAAGAGGAAAAAAAGCAAATTTGTTGTTGGTAGGCGAGTGTGAAGGGGAGGCCTCTTCACCTTCCCTATCATCTGGGAGAGATGGGAGGCTGGGGGCAATAGAAAAGGCAGTAAGTGGGGGCGCACGCCCCACTCTGTACAATATAGAAGAATCTGATATAGATACTTTGTATAAAAGCCACTTGTCCTCATTTGTGTCCTTTTGCTGGCTGGCTGGGCTGGGGGACAATGGGAGATGAAGAAGCTGGGGTGGTAGGCCAGGACACAGGGACAGCCCATAGTCCCCATTTTCTGGCTGTCCCCTTGCGGGGTCACTTTGGATCCTTAGTGGGGGCATAGCAGAGCTCTAGTGGTCGGGACACCTTCCAGAACTTCTCATTCACCAGCTCCAGGGTCAGTGAGCCATTCAGCGTCTATGGAGGGGGTGAGAGACGGGGAGGAGAGAACACAGTTGGGGAAGATGGCAAAGGAAATGAAAAAAGCGACCAAGGGAGGAAAAAGAAAGCAGAAGCAAAGCAGGAGCACGTGGAGCAATGGGAGAGGACAGGGAGGGAGATGAAGGAGCAGGGGTGAGAAGAGGGGTCAGGCTCATGGCCGTGTGAAGGGGAGGGTTCTTCACCTTCCCTCCCACGCCCAGTGCTGTCAGAGGCTCTCACCGTGAATGCTCCACCTCCAGGTGCGATGTAGATGGTGTACTGCTTTTCACTGACACCCTCCAGGCTGGGCAAAGCAGGCTCCTCAGGACCATCACCTCCTCCGGTACCCCCACCTTCCCCACCACCCCCATCAGGTCCCCCAGTGTCAGAGGCACCCCCTCCAGGCCCTCCTGGCTCGCCGGCCTCTTGCTGCTGCCTCCGCTCAAGGGCAATGCGCAGGGCCAAGTACTTGGAGAGATGGTCCACTGTGGCATTCCCAGTTGTCTTCACATACCTGGGGTGGGAGAGAGGGCAGGTTCAGGGCTTGGGAGGCGGCAAATGGGGATGGGAAGGAGGGGACTTTCCCAAAGGGTCTCTGGGTTKGGGTTGCTTCAGGGATTGGGTGACCCTGCTTCTGAATGGAACTCTGTGAGCTTTGATTACACAGTGGTCTGGGGAAAGCCAGGGCTCCTCACCTAGTCTGGCAGTATTCTCCCTTCTCCACGAGCAGGGGGTGGGGCCGGAACACGAGCTCAATTTCTCCACCTGGCTCCGGGGGACTGGGGGCCCCAGGAGGGCTTGGGGGGCCCAGGGTTCCCCCTCCCAGCGTGCCTCCCCTGTCACCAGAGTCTTCTGAACCAGCACCTCCACCCACCCCCCCAGTACCCCCTCCCCCTGTCCCTACACTGCTGCCCCCTGCGCCCCCTCCACGGGGTCGCTTGGGAGCAGGGCCTGGGGCAGAGTCAGGGGCTGAATCTGAGCTCACATCTTCTCCATCCCCCTCTCCCTCCCCAGGCTCTCCTTCCCCCCCACTCATCGTTGTGGTCTGATCTGACCCAGGCATCGGTCGCCTCACACGCTGGGCCCTGTAGAAGCAAGTGGTTAAGATTAGAAAGCACCAAGGATAAGGGGCTTAGACTTTAAACTTCAGAGAATTAAGAGATCATGGAAATCCTAATGATGTACCTGATATTTATTAACACTAACAATATGCCAAGCGCCCTGAGTATTTAATCTCCATTTTATGGCTGAGGAAACAAGCTTAGAAATGTTAAGCAACTTGAGATCACAGGTCCTCACCCTCAAAATGTGGTCAAAGGACCAGCTGCACAGGCATCACCAGTGAGCTTGCAGAATGCAGATCCGATCACCTGAATCGGAGTTTGCATTTTTAACAAGACCCAAAGGWAATATGGATACACATTACAGAGAAGGAGGCGTAGGAGGTGATTTACTCCCCAGCATGAACTCAGAGCTTATGCTTGAAATCAATCTACTGTTCTAACTTCTAAAAAGTTACAGGATGAGCTATTTTCTTTCTAAGAATAGCACTGCCTGTTGTTTACTAAGGCTGTAATTTACATCCATGATTTCCAGGCCCAACAGTAAGGCTGTGGTCAGCTCTTAGGATACTGAGGCTTAGATGCTAGCAGATAGCAAAGATAGTCCAAGGACTTTAACCATGGGACCCACTCTACCACCCTGTTGTGGCCCTTCTCCTGACTCCTCACCTGTGCATGGCCTGCATGCGCAGCCCCTCCTCAATGCTGGAGCTCAGCGCCTGTTGGTTGTGCAGGCGGCTGAGGCGGATGAGCACTCGGTCTTGATGGGCCTCATATTCCTCCCGRCTGGGATAGATCTTAGAGATCAGGGCGTCAAAGTTGGGGTCTGGTCGTAGGGATCGCTTGGATACCAGCTTTTTTCTGCAGGTAGGACACTCCTTGTTCCTGGGACAGGAGAAAAGAAGCCTGAAGTCTAGGCTGAACTAGGACCAGAGAGAGGACACCAACTCCAGGCCCCTTCACCCAATCTCAGAACAAGTCCCTCCTGTTACCCGCTTCGCAGGGCTGTGACAATGCAGTCAGAGCAGAACCGATGGAGGCACTCCTTGGTTGTCATTGTATTCTTTAGCATGTCCAGGCAGATGGGGCACATGAGTTCTGAATGCAGTGACCGAGGGGAAACTGCAATCTCTGTGCCATCCATGATGGCTTCCTGGAAGCATCAGTGAATGAAGGGTGATGGTGGGTTACCAGGAAAGGGATTTTCAAAACAAGCAATCATAAGAAAGGAATGTTAAGAAATACAGTGAGATGGCAGGATCTGGTTATCATGTTGGCTACCTGAGGAAGATTGGAATTCTGAGATGGAGAAGGACTACTAATTTGGAGAGAATGGATAACGGAAAGGATTAGGGTCCATAAACTAAGAGGAGTTTTGGAATAGGATAATCTGAGGTTTGGGGGTGAGGGTGGGGGTGGGGCCATAGATCTGTGGTTTGAAGAAGACTCGGTCAACAGTTTTTTTTTTACAATGTGGTTCTGGTACTATCTACATCAGAATTCCCTAGGGTGCCTGTTATAAATGCAGATTCTGAGGGTCCACTGCACTACTGAAACAGAATGTGGGTGGCGGGGACCTGTGAAGTTCCATTTTAAATAAACTTCCAAGGTGAGTCCTGTATACACTGATCTGACACTGAACTGGGGAACAGAGAAGGTAATTTTGGTGTCTGTTTATTATCTTTCAAATGTAGATAGTAATATTTGCTCTAACTCTCTGACAGGGCTGTTTTGAGGATTAAATTAAATGTAAAAGTGCTTTAAAAAGGTGATACAAAGGTAGGTCCAGGGAGTCTGTGAAATCAGGCAGAGTCAGCAGAATAGGGGGGAAAAATGGAAAACAAGCTGTGTGACGGGTCTGTTTATCAGGGATTTGAGGGGAAGGGGTAAACCAGGACGGRAAGAGTCCCTGTCACCTGCGGGGTCCGGTGCAGCTCATACAGACTCAGTTCCCACGTTTTGCTGGCATTCTGGGCATTCGCCGGCGTCGTCATGGTGACCGGGCACAGACCCCCCACCAGGGCTCCGCGGCCGAGAAGGCGAGGAAGGCTAGGGAGGGGGGAAGGGGAGGCGGTGTTAGGGGGGCCGACCCTCGCGCAGACCCCGCCCCTCTAGCGACTCCCCTCTGCTCCCCCGCCCCCGCGTCGGCGCTGCCCCTCACCCGACTCCACAGTCCGCGCTCCAGCCGCCGCCGCGCCTCTCCCTAGGCCCTGACTCCGGGGCCGAGTTCGCTCGTCCGCAGTCGCTGCTCAGACAGCAGCTCCCGCCGCCGCCGCCGCCGCCATGGCCCGGGCGCTGGGGCCCTACGTCACTTCCGCCTATCCCTCCACTCCACCCCCCCGCTGGCAGACGTCACCCGCCACTCGCGGCGCGGGTGGGACGCGACGTGGACGCCGGGGTTCCCCCGCCCACGAGACGCGCCCGCCCCGCGCGAGGAGCAGGCGTCCCGGGAGTCCCGCGCCACGTGGGGACCTCTGTCTCCTCCCCTGGCCCAGCACGGTTGCGCGGCCAACCTTAGCCACTGTTCCCTACCCGGGTTTCCCCACCCGGGGCCTCTGCTCGGGAGGGCGGGGCCTGGGATCGCTGGGACCCCAGGAAGGACAGAGGGCTCGGGAAGGGGGCCACCTCCCCCACTCCGCATCCCCTTGTGGCCCTGGGGATCTCTCCCGCCCCCTGCATACAACTTCTTCGTAACCCACAGCCTGGGATCCCGGGGTGGGGGGGAAGGTGCAAAAGAGGCTCTGTCGCCTTAGCCAAGTCCTGTGAATGCAACTAGGTCCCAAAGTACTCGGGATTCCCCTAAACCCTGGGGATTTGCTCCACCCTCCGCTTTGCCTCTCCCTAGACCCTCCGACCCGCTCTCCCCCTCGAGGTTTGGGGGCAGCGGCTCAGGACGTCCAGACTCAACTCTCGGCCGGAGCTATAGACTCGAGAATTGCGTTTGGACAATCAAGAGCCGCGGCCCGGGGCGGGGGAGGGAGGCGCACGGGAGGAACAGGGGAATGGAGACACCACGCGGAAGCAGGGACACACACACACACACAAGATGGGCCCCCATTGGGGAGGGGGGTGTGCGCGTGTGGGTGGGGGACACAAGGGACAGAATGTCTGGAGTGGGAAGTGGGCAGAAGCCTTTTCCAGGACTCTAAAAGAAGGGAACCGAGAGGAGAGGCAAGAGGAAAGAGCAGAGCGATCCCCATTGAGGGCAGGGAATGAGAAGGATATGGGGGGAAAAAAGACCGTGACGGGTTTTTCCCCCCCCCCGCCAGTCTATGCAGGGGTTCCCGGACTTGGGCAGAGGCTGCCAGGGGGTGGCCTGTCTCTGGGACAAGTCAGCAGTGGGTTCCCTCGACCCCCCACCCCAGTTGCCCCCTACTTCCCTGTCCTCTCCTTCAGTCCGTGGCCAGTCCTTATGTGGGCGCCAGAGTCGATTAGCGCGGACCCCCTCCCCTTCCTCCTCCTTCTCTTCCCAACCCCCTCCCTTCTGCTCTCCTCCAGCCCCTTTCATCGGCTGGTCCATTCCCCTAATCCTGGCCCCCTCCCCTAATCCCCCCCATCCGACCCCAAGCCGGCTGCAGCTATTGTAAGGTGGAGAGAAAGGGGAGGGGGGACTGAGAGAAAGGAGAGGGGTGGGGGAGGGCCACCTGTTCCAAGACCCCCTTCCAAGGCCAGACTGGACACCAGGATGGGGCCAARAACAAATCACCCTTGGGGACCATAAGGACTCAGGGAGTTGGGGTGGGGGAGGGGACTGGCACTGCAGAACCAGCCAAAGGGGGTAGGGCAGAAACCCCTCCCTCCAAAAAGACCCAGAGTGTCAYGCATACACAGTGACATACACTCTTTCCTCTCACACCCGGCGGCGGGGGTTGCCCTGGGAGACCAGGCAGTGAAAGGGAACAATCCTTCGGGAAAGGGAAGAGGGGGAGGTGGGGAAGGGTCTGAGGGCTTGGACACAAGAAGAACCGGAGGTGGCAGGGAAGAGGATTTGGAATTTATTAGGGTCACAAGCACCCCTGCCTCCCGTATTCAGCATTCCTGGGCCATACACTGCCACCCCTTTTGTAGCCTGGGAACTTTGAGTCCTCATCAGCAGGAGACCCGGCAGAGTGGTGGGGGAGTGAGAAGAGTCCAGGGTCCTTGAGGCAGTTACATGAAAAGACCTCCTGGGAGGGGCAAAAACATTTGGACATGCATGGGTGGAGAGATAAATGGGCTGGGGGTACCCATTTCTGTTCTTGGCCTTGGAAGCCTCTGCCCTTCCCACAGTAGCTCCAGGCTTCCCTCATTTTCTCATATGGTTTGAGTTCCTCTTCTGTGCCCTCTCTTTCCCCATGCTGGCATCATACCAGTGACTTCCACTGAGGCCCCTGTGATGTATCCACTGTCTTCAGATGCCAAGAATGCAACCACATCTGCCACATCTATAGGAATGGTGGGGAAAGGGCACAATCCCATTCACTTCCATAGATTCAAAGTAGCCATGATCTCTGGCACCCCCTCACCCCCACCCCAACTACAAATCCTGGTGAGACCCTCCCCAAAATACAAATCTTGGGTTTTTTTTTAATTCAGGTTCCCTCCTCTCCACTCAGTGCTCACCCTCAGGGTTCCCCCAGTGTCCCATTGGGATCATTCCGGTCACCTGGAAGGAAACACTCATATATGGGTGGTGAAAGTTTCTTTTATGGATTTGTTTTGAAGGCTGAGTCCATGATTTTTTTCTTTTGTCTCCATCCCTCATACATTTTTTGAATACTTACTGTTTGCCAGGCACTGTGCCCAGCATTCTCTCTCTCTGAAACCCAGAGACGTTGGGTCTCTGACTGATTGTGTCCTCCACCGACGGCCTCCTACCTTATCCTTCACTTTCTGTGGCATTTTCTCTGTCATGGGTGTTGCAATGAACCCTGGGAGGACAGAGTTACAGCGGATCCCATRTCTGTGGAAGGGAGAGTGGCTGCTGAACTCTAGACCGATTACTGACCCTTCCCTCACTTCACTACATGCCTCAGTGAAGTCCCCTGTACCCGAGGTGGCTGACCAACCSTCCAAGCTCTCGGGCTGCAGTCTGGGTGAGCCCAATCACTCCAGCCTTGGATGCAGCATAGTTTATCTGCCCGATGTTCCCCACCTACAGGTGAGTCAGAGATCTAAGGTGAGTAAGGAATCTCAAGGAGGGGCCCTTCTCTCTGTGCCCACTTGGCTGGCTGACCTTGTCCCAACCCAACCTGACCTTTCCAACGATGCTACTGATATTGATAATGGAGCCGTGACAACCACTGGACACCAAGGCTTGAGCTGCAGCCTGAGTAACTAGGAAAATGCCCTGGCAGAAGAGGGTAGTAAGGTGAGATCAGCTGGGGTGACAGTCCTCCTCCAATTCCCTCTCCTGGCTTGGGGGATCAGAGGTCACAGGTTCAGAGGTCACCACCTTGAGGTTGACGTCTATGACTTGGTCCCAGTCATCCTCAGACATGTGGAGCAGAAACTCATCCCGAGTGATGCCCGCACAAGACACAACGACAGATGGCGGGCGAGAAAAGCTGGCCTACAGGAGGGGGGAGGTTACACATCAAAACACCACAAAGACCCAGGGGCAGTGGGGACAATGTTAGAGCTTTAACTGTGTGCGTGCAAGGGCAAGGCTGCCTGGAGTTCACCTGCACTTTTTCCAGCAGGCGCCTGGTGGCCCTGGCCTCAGACACATCAGCCTGGAAGGCAGCGTGGTTCCCGCCCGGCGCCCCTTCCTCACTCCCCGACCCGTCTAGCAGCCGCACCGTCTCCTGAGCTGCTGTCCCGTCCACGTCGCAGGCGGCTACGGTAGCCCCCTCTCTGGCCAGGCGCGCACTAACCGCCCGGCCGATACCGCTACCCGCACCTGAGATGGGAAAAAGTATGCGGAGAAGGGAAGGAGAGAGGAGAGGCCGGGCCAGAAGTCACAGGGCGCAAAGTTAGTAAAATTCAAACAAGGTGCCAAAGGTCACTGGGGCCGTGGGGYTTGAGAGTGCTCCCCTTAACATAACTCGGGCACCCCAACCCGCCCTAAGACCCTCTGAACCTGTGACCAAGGCCAGCGCAGAACGGAGCCGAAGCTGAGACGCCATGGCGGGCGGCCGGTGGGCGGGCACCCAAGCCATGAGCCAATCCAAGCACAGTGGGGGCGTGGTAAGGCCCCAGCGAAGCCCCACCAGCCACAGGCCATCTGCGGCCAGGAGCGCGGGCCGACCTCCCACCGTGGGGGCGTGTCCAGACGACACCGAAAGGGGGCCTGGGGAGTGGGGGAGACAAGGGGCCCCATTCCCCCCAAAAAGACAAAGACTGCATGTGGGGCGGAAGATCCAAGGTCTTTATTTCCGGTCACCACCCCTCCCCCTCGATTCAAACACAATGATATAAAATGAATAGAAACGAAACAAAAATTAGGCTATGAGATTACCAACTAATCTTCTCCCACCCCCTAATCCTCTGATCACTCCCAAATCAGAACACACGATTGATGTTTACCCCCAACTCCTCCGGTCACCCCCTCAGTCCGGGATTCAGGTCTTCCCTGAAGCCTCCACCAACAGATGAGAAGGACCTTGGAGAAATGTTTGGCAGCTTGGTCCTCAGAGAACAAGTTAGGTAGGGTACACCAGGTAGGCTGCCATCCTTTTTCTTGCAGCTTTCTTCATGGCCCCATTTTTCCCTCCAAAATCTACAATATAGCTGGGCAGTGCCCAACATTTTGGTCCCTCTGGCCTCTTATTCTCACCTCTATGACCTCTGTAAGACTACCAAAACTTGAAGGTCCTAATACCAAAGTCACTGTTTTTTCTGGGCTACAAGTCCTTCCTCTGGCAGACGCCCATGGCCAGGGCCCCTAGCTACCATAGACCCCTGACTTGGAGTTAGGGGTAGACGTTTGGGGCAGGGGTGGGGGTGGTTTATCCCACCTCACTCGAGGTGAGCAATCAGCACCATCATGACAACTCCTGCCAGCAGCCCCAGCACTTCCAGGAGTGACTGTAATGGTGACGCCTCCCTCAACAGCTCTGGCAACACAGACACTGTTGCTACATATATAAAACCACCTGCAGTGAATGGCAGAACCCAGCCAGGACCTGCACCACCTGCAACTTCACTGCCCACTACTCCTCCTTCAGTGAGAAGGGCACAGGCTGTGCCTGCCAGTGCTCCTACTGCTGTCAGTAGTTGTAGACGCATCGCCTGGTGGGCAGAAAAGAGAAAAAGGTACTCATCAATAGCTAAAGACTATCAACGATCTATTTATTTATCTATCTAGCTATTTAYTTATGGTGCTGGGGAGAACCAGGGCCTGTGCATGTGAGGCAAGCACTCTACCAACTGAGCTATATCCCCAGCCCCAAGACTATCAGTGATTTARATGTGGTTAGTGAAGAATAGGTGTGTAGGTGTTGGGTGCATGTCTTCAGAAACTAAAAAGCCGGGTTTAAAAAGATGGGAAGGTTGTTCCAGACTACATATTTTCTGAAGAAAAAAAATTGTATATATATATATATTGCAGTCCTGGAGATTGAACCAGGGGCACTTTACCACTGAGCTACATCCGTACCCAGCCCTTTTTATTTTTTATTTTGAGACAGGGTCTTGCTAAGTTGCCAAGGCTGGCCTTGAACTTTTTTTTCTTGGTACTGTGGATTGAACCCAGGGTCACTTGACAACTGAACCACATCCCCAGCCCTTTTTATGTTTTACTTAAGAGACAGGGTCTCACTAAGTTGCTTAGGGCCTTGCTGAGTAGCTGAGGCTGGCTTTGAACTTGTCATCTTCCTGCCTCAGCCTCCTGAGCCTCTGGGATTATAGGCATGCACCAGCATGCTGCCCCTGGCCTCGAACTTTTGATCYTCTTGCCTCAGCCTCCCAAATTGATGGGATTATAGTATGCCATTGCACTTGATAGAAAAATTTGAGCATAGGTCCTTCCCATGGACCTTGTAGTCCAGTGTATAACGTTACCCATAAAATAATCAGATGACTTATAGACTTCAATTCAAGAAATACTGAATTAAAGGACAAAGAAAACAAAACTTCTTCATCCTCATTTYTAGATTTGTTGTCCATGTTTAGAACTAATGAGAGACAGTCCTGGGTTTGGAGTGAGTGAGCAGGAACAAAGGGTTTGAAGTAATTATGCTTGGTGGGCATCATTACTAACCTGCTTYTTGCTGCAGCCAGACTGGACCAAGATGGCAAAGTCCCCGACCTCATGGGGCACTTCATGAAGTAGGACAGTCATTGTGGTCAGTATTCCCAGCCCTCGGCCCCCTCGAAAGGAAGCACCAATAGCTAGACCATCTGTGAAGTTGTGTGCCAAATCAGCAGCCAGATTCAGGTACCCGGACACACGCAGGTCTTGTTTAGCACAGAGAAAGAAAATGATCAGAGGCATCCATCACCCCGTTCCAGTCCTCGTCAGCCATTCTCATATCTCCTCTCAGAGATCATCTCACACATAATCCCTCAGTGTTTCCCAGACACATAGCAATATCCACAACATATATTCTGTGTGATTCACAATGGTGCCCCTTGCCCAAGCTTATCATCAACCCTGGCCCTTACCTGAGCCTGTTTTTTCTTCTTCAGGGTTCTGAGGTCTTACTGGCCCATCTTTGCTCCCTCCTCTCCTCTTCCGCAACCCTCTTGCTTCCTTTTCTTCTTCCTCTGAGCTGGACTTCTCCTTTGAAGGATGCTCTGAGGGAACAAAGGAGTTGGTCAGATTGAGAGCAGACATCTTCTGACACATCCTCAAAGGGAAGTCTGTTCCACCTGACAGCCACAGGATGAAGGGATTTTGAGGCACACAAGGTGGTTTTCAGCAGAGTGGTTTCTGGGCTCACCCTGTCTTCCGTGACTTCCATGTGTGGGACCATGTCCATGCCCATGACTGTGTCCATGTCCTCCTTTTACATGTCTCACAAATTTCTCCACCACAAGGAAGGCGACAATTCCACTGAGAACCCACAGCCCCACAGACAGAATGGGGCCCTGGCCTGGGAATGGAGGCATTGAGAGGTTATGGGAGATGTGGATTACAGGCTCCTCCTCAAGTGCAGAGGTGAAGAATAGGAAGACACAGATTTTTCCCAGCATCCCAACAGCTGTACCCATATATCTCTTCCTCACCACTGTGGGAGTGTCCATGTCCAGGCTGTGCCAGAGTGTTGTGAGAATGAGGCTCTGCAGGAAGAAAGAAAAAAATGTAGATGAGGAAAACATGTCCTAAAGGACGTGTATGTGATAAATATTARAATTTCAGGAATCACAAAGGAGAAAGAACCCTTTTTTCCCTAAAGAATAAGATAGTAGTTTATACTTTGAGGCAGGATTAGATACTTACCCAGGGCATGAGGGATAAGATGCAGGAAGGCATCTCCCAGGAGCCCTCCAGAAGCAAAACTGAGCAAAATCTGGAGCAGAGAGCGGTGTCTGGGGGAGTTTGACTCCACTGGGATAAGGAAGAGGACAAAAAATGGAGCTGCAGAGATCAGCACCGTGGCTCCCAGTGCCTAGTGAGGAGAGTCAGGGGTCAAGTTTTGTGAAGTTTTCCAACAATCCAGAAATAGTCCCTCTCTACCCCATCCCCTGGGAACTCACATAAGCCCAGAGTGTGACAGTGTCCAGGTTGTGCTTGATGCTTGGAGCTCCAGACTCCCCATAGCCTCCATGATGTTCACGGTCATGTCCATGTCCTTTGTGATACAGGCTTTCATGGGAATGGCCATGGCTGTGGCCATGGTGCAGATCCTCATGTGAATGTCCGTGATCATGACCATGGGTATGCCCATGCCAGATGCTCTYGTGAGTGTGGCCATGGCCATGAGCATGGCTGTGTCCATGGTGGAAATCCTCATGTGAGTGGCTGTGGCCATGGAAGTCCTCTTGCATGTCCTCGTGCGGGTCACCATGACCCCCGTGTCCGGCAACCAGCAGCCCCAAAGACGCCCAGGTCAGCAGTCCTASGGCCACCCAGTGGGGGGCCCGCAGGCCCCTGGCCATCACGCTGACCAGAGGGACAGAGACAATGACTCTACTTGACCCTCAATTCTACACGGGGTCTGCTTTACTCAGCTTGCGCCCTCGGACCACATCCACGGGACGCTCCCCCATTTCATTCAGTCCCCTCCCACATTGTTCCTARGACTCGTTTTCTTTATCCCGAAACCCTTCCTGGATGTAGGCCCCCCCAAGACACCACTCTAGCCTTTAATCAAGACACTTTACAGGCTCTCTGGTCCCTCGTCTCTATGACACACTAGATGGGAAAAGGCCTGAAAAGGACAGAAGGGAAGCAGGGAATTCTCACCGGCTCCGGGATCTTCTCCGTTCCCGTTTTGCTCGGACGTGGCAGTCACGCCTCTAGCTCCCGCGAGAACAGGAAATTCCGTTCTACCTTCTCCCTAATACCTTTACCAATATGGCGGCACTCTAGTAGCAGAGAGGCCATTCTATAGTGGGGCGCATGCGCGGAAGTGGAGGTTATTTAAGGGGAGGGTGGGCGAGGCGGACTAATAGGCTGGAGGAGACCGCCTCCTTCATTTTCAACTAGGCGAGGGGGCGGGAACTAGCGACGAGACTTCCCGTCTGTACAAAGATGGCTGCCACATAGGCGCTGTCATTTTGGTACAGAGCTGAGCGAGCCGCTTAATTCGACTCGATCCAGGCCACCGGCTTTTTCTCTGGGGCTTCCTCGTGGTCAGCTAGTCCCCCGGTCAATCCTTGGGAACCCCTGGCACCTCTTCGGTATCCCTACACTCAACCAGAAATCATGTCTTGGGCCGCCCGCCCGCCCTTCCTCCCCCAGCGGCATGCCGCAGGGCAGTGTGGGCCGGTGGGGGTGCGAAAAGAAATGCATTGTGGGGTCGCGTCCCGGTGGCGGCGGCGACGGCCCTGGCTGGATCCCGCGGCGGCGGCGGCGGCGGCAGCCGGAGAACAACAAACCCCGGAGCCGGAGCCGGGGGAGGCTGGACGGGACGGGATGGGAGACAGCGGGCGGGGTGAGTGTCCTAGCGGACGGGCTGGAGAGCAAGTGACCGCGCTTTCTGCACCCCTCCCCCATGCTCTCCCCCAGCGCTCTTTCCTTGGCGCTCCCGCCCCCTTGTTTGTAAACACGCGTCTTCTACCTCCCGAGGGCCTTAGCGCCTTCCTCCCCCACCCCCCGGGGCGGGGCGGGGAGGGGGAGTTTCCGCCCTCCCTGTGGTGGCCTCTGAAATCCCTGCACCCGAGGTCCTGGGTGTGAGAATGACACGATTCCCCTTGAACTTGAGGACTCTGGACGTTTGAAGGCAGACCCTGCGTCCTAGGGGGGGGCTCTGGCTGCCTGGTTATAATGGAGGGGGGTTGGCTGGTSCAGCCCACGTGCTGCCCCACCCAGGGGACACCTATACTCCCGGTGACCTGGTATTCATTGAGATGCTTTGGTTGTAATTTTTTCTCACCTGAATTATCTTCCCTCTCTTTTGTCAACCCCCTCCTTTCACCATAATTAGGAGTTTAACTGTTTGACAGCAGGGTATTTCTGGACTTGGGGATGAGTGGAGTGGGGTGGGGTGGGGGCTTGGAAAATTAAAGTCTTCAGGTGGATGACTGGGAGACTCATTTTCTCTTTTTGTCTCTTCTGTCTCTGTGTGTCTCTGTGCTGTATGTACCCTTCCCCCAGATTCCCGAAGCCCAGACAGCTCTTCTCCAAATCCTCTTGCCCAGGGGGTTCCTCCCCCTTCTCCTCCTGGGCCACCTCTTCCCCCTTCAGCAGCCCCATCCCTTGGAGGCTCTGGGGCTCCACCCCCACCTCCAATGCCACCACCCCCGCTGGGCTCCCCCTTCCCAGTCATCAGTTCTTCCATGGGGTCCCCTGGTCTGCCCCCTCCAGCTCCCCCAGGATTCTCCGGGCCTGTCAGCAGCCCCCAGGTGAGAGGTTGTGACAKACTTACTGCCTCTCCACTTTCATTTCCTTGTTTTCCTTGTAACCCCARATCCTTGTTTGAACTTCCCATTATCCACTGACCTTCCAAGACCTCTAGCAGGCCTGTGGTCCTTAGCCCTTCCTGAGGCGACTGATTTCCATTGCATGTTTGATCCCTAACTCTATTAAATAAAATAGCCCTATTAAATAATCTTGATGTCCCCTTCACCTGCCAATGAGTTTCCACCCATYTTGTCCCACCTGCCATTCCAAGACACATGCCCTTCAGGGCCACTGTGTTTCACAATTTCAAGGGACAACTGTTATTCTCTTTGGGGTTGTGCTCCAGGGATGACCCTTCTCATAGACTTGAGTGTAGCTAATGCCCTCTGCGATGTGCAATGCAGGGCCCTGCCTAATGATAGGGAATGATTTCCATTACCTCCAAGAGATTCTGCTTCCCAATGAGTCTCCCTGTGACTTCCCTATTTCCCCTATCCCAGATTAATTCAACAGTGTCGCTCCCTGGGGGTGGGTCTGGCCCCCCTGAAGATGTGAAGCCACCAGTCTTAGGGGTCCGGGGCCTGCACTGTCCACCCCCTCCAGGTGGCCCTGGGGCTGGCAAACGGCTTTGTGCAATCTGCGGGGACCGAAGCTCAGGTATGGGGCTCAGAGCACAGAGGAGGAAACAAKCCTGGTGCTTCTTGGGTTGGGTCAGAGCAAGTAAGCTGGGGGAGGCTGAGGAACCTGAAGCTCAGATGTGGGATGGAGTGTGTGGGGTTGGCTGAGGGAAAAGCCAGCTTTTGTAGGGCTTCTGAACAGTGAAGAGGGTGGGAATGGATTATCCCTTAACTTCCTGGTTCATCTACATTGGACAAATGTTAGGAGAACTTTGACTAAGTTTTGCTTAGGGGAAATTTGTAAGAGAATTGATGGTGATGAGGTCTCCATGCAGCCTTAATGTTGCTATTCCCCTCCCCTTGTAGGCAAACACTATGGAGTTTACAGCTGTGAGGGCTGCAAGGGCTTCTTCAAGCGCACCATCCGCAAGGACCTGACCTACTCATGCCGGGACAACAAAGACTGTACAGTGGACAAGCGCCAGCGGAACCGCTGTCAGTACTGTCGCTATCAGAAGTGCCTGGCCACTGGCATGAAGAGGGAAGGTAAGGAACTTCTCTACTTAAACTTTCCAGTCCACAGGTCCTTCCTTTTCCATCCTGCTGGTGGGAGAGCAGGGAGGAAGTAGAGGGAAGACTGAAGGAAACCACAGCCTGTGTATCTGTCAGGAATGTGGGACTATTCTCTCTGTCCTCCAGGGGGCGATGTTTGTCTTCCCTCTCCCTCTCATCTGCTCTTCTTGGTACCCTGTTCCATCTTAATGGTTCTGTCTGTAGCCTGCACTRTGACCCCTCCCCAGCCCAGACTGGTTCTAGGGTAGGATAACCTTTTCTTACCTATCATGGTCTCCTCTGTCTTCTCTAACTTGAGCAATCACTCCTCTCTTTGATCCCAACTCTCCTCTGGTCTCCATCTCTCTGTTCTCTGTGGTATTTTCTCCCACCACTGAGACTCTACCCTCTCAAGCTGTAGACTTTAATGAAAGGCCTTGCCTTCCCTTTTTTACGTTTCCATCTTGTCTTCTTTTTTTAAAATTTATTTATTTTATTTTTTTAAATTGTAGATGGACACAATACTTCTATTTATTTCTTTGTGGTGCTGAGAATCGAACCCAGAGCTAGGCGAGTGCTCTATCCCTGAGCCACAACCCCAGCCCCTCTATCTTGTCTTCTTAAGTCTGGTTCCTGGAATTCTGAGAGAGAYTCTTCAGAAAGTTTCTTGGTCAAATCCCTTCTTTAGAAAAGACGAGCTGGGGGCCTGGCTTTCCCAAGGTCATGCAACAAAAGAGTAATAGGGCCAGGATCAGAGTGCTAATTCTGAAGATGCAGGCCAGTGCTCATTTTACTGCCTGTTAAATTGAGTCAGAGGGACACAAGATTTGTATCAGACATGCTTGGTTTCAAGTATAGAATCTGCCATGTAGTATGTGAACATAGGCAATTTATTTAGTCTCTGTCTCTCTCTCTTTTTTTTTTTTTTGGTGGTACTGGGAATTGAACCCAGGGACAGTTAACCACTGAGCCATATATCCTCAGCCCTTTTTTATATTTTATGTTGAGATAGGGTCTTACTGAATTGCTTTGGACCTCACTAAATTGCTGAGGCTGGCTTTGAACTTGCCGATCCTCTTGCCTCAGTCTCCCAAGACGCTGGGATTACAGGCGTGTGCCACCTGTCTGGCTACTATGTAGCCTCTTTAAACCCAAGTTCTTCACCTTTAAAAGTGGGAACAAGAGTCCCCAGGGTCCTTTTGATACTTGAGTGAATGTTCAATATGTTTCTTAGCACTAGTTTAGCTTAAGCTTAGCACTGTTTAAATATCAGCTTCCTTCCTAATTCCTTTACCCTCCTCTTTCCTTTTAACTTATTAATCTGCCCTTTGATTAAACTGCTGCTTTCAGAGTGTCCCAGTCTGCCTTTTCTAGTGATTTCCCCAATTGTTATAAACATTTCCCAAGAGACATCAGACTTTTTTAAAACATATTTTTAAGCTATAGATGGACATAATACTTTTTAAAGCTTTGTTTGTCTATTTTTATATGGTGCTGAGGTTYGAACCCAGTGCCTCACATGTGCTAGGCAAGTGCTCTACCACTGAGCTACAACTCCAGCCTCAARACATCAGACTTTGATAAGGTTCTAAGGATGTTTCAGGACTCCCTCATGGCTGGCTGCTGACCTTTCACTTTTTTCTCCCCACCCCCTGCAGCTGTACAGGAGGAGCGTCAGCGGGGAAAGGACAAGGACGGGGATGGGGAGGGGGCAGGGGGAGCCCCCGAGGAGATGCCCGTGGACAGGATCCTGGAGGCAGAGCTTGCTGTGGAGCAGAAGAGTGACCAGGGCGTTGAGGGTCCTGGGGGAACCGGGGGTAGCGGCAGCAGTGTGAGTGATGGGATCAATCCCTCTCCTTTGTGATGGGGGGGGGTGCTGGGGAGGGAGTCTAGGTCTGTTCTTTCTGCCCTTCCCTTCCCCTCAATGTTCCTCACACTTCCTGGGACTGGGAATGCTGCCAAAACAAAGCCTCTCAAAACATTTCAGGTGGGTGTGTTAGCTCCCTCCATCTGCAGGACCACAAGCAAATAACTAATCCTTTACACGAGTGCCAGGCAAGAAGCCTGGTTTACAGAGATTGGTCTAAATGAAGAAAGATTATACAGAGAAAGGGGATGTTAGATCTCTTACAAGGGGGGCTCCCAGTGTACCTCCAGATCGTCCATAAATCTTACCCCCCCTGTCCCCTGCAGCCAAATGACCCCGTGACTAACATCTGTCAGGCAGCTGACAAACAGCTATTCACACTTGTCGAGTGGGCGAAGAGGATCCCACACTTTTCCTCCTTACCTCTGGATGACCAGGTCATATTGCTACGGGCAGGTCAGTGACCTTGAATCCCTTTGACCTCTTGACATTTGACCCTTCTTTGGCCTCCTGACCTTCAGTGACCTAGTGGCCTTACCTTGCATACGCAAGGGAGCCAAGCTTGTCGACCTTGCCACCTCTTCTTCTCTTCCCCTGATGTGCTTTGAATCCCATGAGCTGAGCTCTGGCTCCTGACCCTTGCTGCCCTGCCCTCCGCAGGCTGGAATGAGCTCCTCATCGCCTCCTTCTCCCACCGGTCCATTGATGTCCGAGACGGCATCCTCCTGGCCACAGGTCTCCACGTGCACCGTAACTCAGCCCATTCTGCAGGCGTGGGAGCCATCTTTGATCGGTCAGTGGCCCTCGGCTGGGCTAGCCTGTAGGTAGAGGAGGGTGGGGCTATAGGCTGGTCCGTGTCCAAGGCTGGCTGAGCTGTGACCTTTGAGTGACCTGCAGGTCCCTCTCCAGGGTGCTGACAGAGCTAGTGTCCAAAATGCGTGACATGAGGATGGACAAGACAGAGCTTGGCTGCCTGCGGGCAATCATTCTGTTTAATCCAGGTAAGGGGAGGATTACCCCCGTCTCTCAAGAACAAGGCTACCTTGGAGCCTCCTCTTCTCTGGAGACTCCTAAGTTACCCAGCTATCCCCTTCAGTAAGACCCTCAATCTGGAAATCTCCCAACTGACTGAGGAAAAAGCTACTTCCTCTGATACATTCCCTTTCTGACCCCCATCCCACAAACCCAGTGGGCCCTGCTTCCCTTGCTTGGCATCTGGCAAAGGGCAAGTAGGTGGAGCCCTAAAGGGGTATCCTGTGGGCCATATCTGCATGTCTGTCCTGATTTGATTTGTCTGCCTTCCTCTTCCTTCTCTCTTCCTGCCATCCCAGATGCCAAGGGCCTCTCCAACCCCAGTGAGGTGGAGGTCCTGCGGGAGAAAGTGTATGCATCATTGGAGACCTACTGCAAACAGAAGTACCCTGAGCAGCAGGGACGGTGAGATAGGGCTTTGGGGACTGAGGCCCCCAGCAGGGTGGGGAGGTGTATGTTTCTGGGCCTGTGTGCTTSTAGCTCTTATGTCCCTTCTCTGTCTTCCACCTCAGGTTTGCCAAGCTGCTGCTACGTCTTCCTGCCCTCCGGTCCATCGGCCTTAAGTGTCTAGAGCATCTSTTTTTCTTTAAGCTCATTGGTGACACCCCCATCGACACCTTCCTTATGGAGATGCTTGAGGCTCCCCACCAGCTGGCCTGAGCCCTTGCCAATGCCAACATGTGGTGCTCCTCATGGTTGAGGGGTGCTATCTAAGAGGACTCAGCCTGGGACAGGGTGGGAGGGACTSTGTTCCCAGAGAGGAGTACAGAGCAGAACCAAGACCTCCAAGGGATTCAYCAGCTCTCTAGTGGGTTTGCTTGGTACCCCAAGTCAGGGGGGGACCCAAATCCCTGTGAGGACTGGACGTCTCTCTTCATTGTYCTTGAGTCTCTGAATTTGTTGGGGTCTCCCATGATTTGGGGTGATTTCTTACCCCTTGTTCCTCTCCCAGCACAAAGCACTGGCCCTGCTCCTGGGATCCTGCTTCCTTCCCATCCTGACTTACTCCCATTTAAGAGTGGAAGTAGGAAAATCCCCCAGAGATGGATGTTGGGGGGCAGGCCCCTCAAACTGATGGGCATGGAAGAAGGCCTCTGACAGGCCTTCTTTCTCCCAAACCTGACAGATGGGGACCTCTGGAAGAGGGAGGAGGTCCTGTCACTGTCTCCTATCCAGAGTCCCCTTTTACACTTCACCTCCTTCTGCAGTCAGACTGAAAAAAAAAAAAGAAAAAAAAAGGCGGTGGTGGTTTAAGGGGCTGGTGGAGAAGTAGGAACTGATCTGCTATTTTTAATTTCCTCTGAGGATAGAGACTTGCAGTTAGACTCAAAGAAGTACTGTACTTTCCCAGGTTGACTAAGAAATGCCAGTGGTGGAGGTATTTGGGCAAGGCGGGTCCCTGAGATGGTCTGTCCCTGGGCGCCTCCAAGCACTGGCCTTCCCAACCCACTCTCTCCCCTTCTTCCTGTCTAGTTTGGGGCAGGGGTCTGGGCTGTGATGATGCCCTGGCTGGCTGGTTTGGTGAGTGTAGTCCCTGGGTCCTTTCACAGTTCTCCCACAGCCCTAAGCACCAGGTGTAGGCTGGGGACATAGGATCCTGGCTTGAGAATTGAGGGGAGGTGGCTAACCTGCAGAGATGGAGTGCTGGGGCTGCATGATTTTTTTGCCCTGCATCTCTTCTCTTTGGGGTCCTTTCCTCTCTCTTTACTCGCACATAAAATCGCTTTCAAATTAAAATCACAGTTTTCTGGACTGAGGTGAATATATATGGGGGTGGGCAGCGCCGCACGGGCCTGGTATGGGGGTTACCCTTATCCGGTTGGGAGCTCTGGATGCACTCCCTAGAGGCAGCCCCGGCCGAGGTTCCCTGGGGCCTGAGAGGTTGGCGCAGGGTGGGGGACACAAGGCGCGCTTTGTCGGGGAGGGGGGAAGAGGGTGTGCCAGGCTGGGGGCGGGGCCGGGCGGAGGAGGAAGGGGGGCAGCTGGTTCTCAAAGGCGCCTTGTTCACTTATGCCCTCCCAGCGCCAGCGGGCGGCGGCGCCTAGGCTTGCTTCGGCAGGCCTTCTCTCCGGCCGCGCCGCGGGCTCCGGGCAGACCCGGCGCGGTGCCCGTTCGTGGGGGCGCGCCGGGCGCCAAGTGCAGCAGCCTCTCCAGGCATTGCCGGTCTGGAGGCGGCCCACGTCCCTGAGTGACCCCATTTTCCCGGACCCTACCAGCGTTATCGACTACACGCTTATGCCATCACTGGGTCCCTTTTCACCTGGGCTCTCCCTGACGTAGTCCCTTTTCCGTCTCCTGGGACTTGGTTAACCTGTGTTTGTTCCAGTCTCTGGCCTCGCTTTATCCCAAAGYCGGCTTCCTCCGTTCCTCAAAGGAACCCCTCCCCTCTGCTCCCCACCACCAGTCGCTATCTATAGCCTTGTCTATAAATACCCCAGCCCGGTGCTGGCTCTGTAATTACTTGGGGCGGGGCGAGGGAGGTAATTATGGAGACTTGATTACGGGTGGGCGTGGGGGTGTAGACCCCGGGTCCACCTCTCTCCTCCCACTGTGTCCTGAATCCCTCCCAGGACTCTCCGAAAGGGGGTCTGGACCCCCAAGGGGGAGGTAACCCAGGAGTGTGTGTGACTGGACGTTTGGATCCTAGAAAAGGAAGGGGCTGGGGAAGACAGTATGCTCCCTAAAAGGCGATCTTGGGGTACTGGCCACTGAATCCCTGCAAGGGGCAGGACGGTGCAGATCGAGGGTCTGCAACAGAGGGAGGTTTCCCGTCCCTAACCCCCACCCAGGCCCAGGTGGGGAGATTGAGGGTGGGGTTTCCCCTCGGTGGCTGTGGGCGGGCGGCTGGAGGCGGGGGCCGGACCGGGGGGCGGGGGCGGGGTGGGGGCTCTGGGCCGCTGGGGTGGCCGGGGACACAGAGGAGCGGCGGCCACCGAGGAGGGAGCAGCATCGAAGCCCCGACGGCACCTCGCTATATGGAACGGGGCCGTTGAAAGCTGTCGCTGCGGACAGCCTCTGACCTCTCCTGAATCCCGGGTTCGGAGACTCACAGCCTGCTTGCTGTCTCCTGTCAGCCTCCAGGCGTACCTGGGTCCCTGGGACCTGGCGCTCTGGTCGTCCAGTCATGGAGCGGTGCAGCCGCTGCCATCGCCTCCTCCTGCTCCTACCTCTGGTGCTGGGGCTCAGCGCTGCCCCGGGCTGGGCAGGTAAGAGGAATTCTGAAGCCTGGTCGTCTGAGTCTRCTGGAGCTCTAAGTATCCCCCGGGAGGGGAGCACTGATACCTGGGGCAGTAGATTCTAAGTCTAAGGAAGGGATTTGGGGTCTTCAGGGTTTAGGCAGGAAGGCAGGATACTTGGGTTCTTTGGAAAGAGAGTAGGGATCTCTCTCTCTTTGAAGTGACTGGAAGAGGCAGGTAAAGCCGAAAGGATGAGAGTCACCATAGACAGTCCTGAGTGCTTTTGTTGTTTCCTCAGGATGGCTAGGGCCAGTCTGGTCCAGGCTTTGCTGATGTTGGGATGGTAGATACCAGTGTTGATGGGTGAGGGATGAGGGATGAACATCTTGGGGCAGAGCAGAGGCTAGTATGCTGAGAAAGAAGGGATGCCTCCACTATCTGTCCCATTGGTCTCCCCTGGCAATGTCCCCCACCCCCTCCCTGTGCCCTCGATGCTGCCACGCGGCTGGCTCTGGGGAGCACTAGGGCTGGCTGCCAACAGGACGGCCGCTGGACAGGCCGGGATCAGGTGTCTGAGGCTGGAGCCAACTCTTTGCATTCCTGCTCCACCCCTCCCCCTCTGGCCATTTGGGATCCCCTGGGACCCTGGTGTCCACAACCCCAGCCTTTCCTTTTTTTCCCCCAGGACACAGAAGTTCTGGCTCCTAGAAAGGGGGATTTGATATCAGAWCAGGAGGCTGGGAGCACTGGGCAGGCTGGAGTTCAGTTTCTCCCAAAAAACAGGGGGACTGATTTGTTTATAACTTGACTGTTCATTTCTTTGCTCTGGAGAGAAAATGGTCAGAATGGCAGCATAACGAATTTAGACTAGATTATAGAAAGAACTTCCAAGCTCTGGGGAGTGAGGCTCAGGGACAGGATATTGATGTGTATGTGTATACAGGGTTTAGGAGTTTTTCTTAGGGGGAAAGGAACTCTTTGGCATGAAGGCAGGGGCTAGTCATGATGACTGTGTTCTCTTTGGGGGCTGAGTGGGTGGAGGTGGGACTCTAGGGAGATGGGTTACTGTGGCAGTCCTGAGATTAGAGAATAGGGCATTTGGGGATTCAGAGGTTGAGGGTGATGGGATACCAGTAGGGAGTTGTGGGCAGATGAGACAGTGGGGCGAATGTGGCTTGAGGTGGGAAGAAGGTGGGCGGGCCGGTGGATAGTTGTGCATAGGATCCAACTGTACTCTTCTGGGCTCTGGAGGAGGGTGGGGGCCTCCAAGGTCTCCTTGGCCTGGGGTCTCTGTGAGTCTCTGTGTCTCACTCACCTTCATCTCTCAAAGCGGCCCTTGTGTGTTGGTGTTTGCGGAGCTGCCACACGCGGGGGCCAGGCTCAGGCAGGGGGGGCGGGGAAGGCCGTGGTTTCCCGGCTCCTGGACTCAAAGGGCCTTTTCTCTCCTGCCTGCCCCACCTCACCCACCCCACCCAGCTCTGCTCTCCCAACTGCTCTGGCCTCTGCCCTGGCCCACACTTCTTTGAACATTTTGCTGAAACTTTTTTGGGATTTTTTTTTTTTTCCAATCTGGAGCTGACAGTGTGAGAAGTGTGTATACTGGGATCAAGCCAGGGAGAGGTGACCTTTGTCTTCCACGGAGTTTGGGCTCTAGGAAGCTGAGGTCTGGATGGACCAAGCTGGAGCCTGTGATTTGAATCTTTGGATCACAGGTGGTGGGAGTGGCAGGGCAGGATGAAGGTTCCAGGTGTGGGGAGCTTGCCCGGGTTTTGGGCAAGAACTCTGATGGGATCTACAGATGTGTGGCTTGGGGCCCTGGATCTGCTTCTGCTCTGCGTGGCAGCTTCAGCCATCCCCTCCACCCCGAGTCTGTCTTGCAAGCCAGGGGGGCACAGGCTCTGGGGATAGCTCTTTCTTGTATCTCTTGTTATTTCTTGTATCTCCTCAGGATGGGCAGAGTTGTCCCCACCTCTCTAAGCCCAGATCTGTAGCAGCTCAAATTCCTCTCCCATAGAGTTGCCTCTCTGCTCTTTTCCTGGTGGCCCCCCTGCCCCTCCCGTGCCCAGAATGATCGATTGACCAGATGTTGTTTGTGCTGGAAATGGGACAGATGCCAGAGAGCCAGAGACTGGGAGATATGGAAAGGGAGGGAGAGAGGGAGGAAAAACAGGGAAAGAAAAGGATGGAGAGAATGTGAAGGAAATGGAGAAGGAAGAGATGCAGAGAAAGACCAGCAGGTGCACAGGCAGAGAATCAGATAGAGTGAGAGAAGAGGAGACAGATGGCAARTTGAGAGAGAGCTTAAGAGATATTAATGGAGATAGGTTCTTGGGCTGAGAGACAGAGATAGGGAGGTAGTAAGAAAGACAGATGTTGGAAGTCGCATCGTTCGGGGCCAAGCTGCCTTCCCCCTCCAGGTAACTTTGTGCTTTTCATCCATATGGACCCCATTCAGAAGAAAGTAAAGGACAGGTGATCTTTGCCTTCTAGGGAGTTTGAGCCCTAGGATGCTGAGTTCTAGACCTCGATGTCCCCTATCTAGGCCCTCCTGAGGGTAGACTCTTTTTCCTGACCCTCRTGGACTCTCCTAGGTGCACCCTCTGTGGATGTGCTCCGGGCCCTGAGGTTTCCCTCCCTCCCTGATGGTGTCCGAAAGGCAAGGGGCATCTGTCCATCTCATGTGGCYTACAGAGTGTCGCGACCTGATCAGCTTAGTGCACCCACCCGCCAGCTCTTCCCAGGTACGTGTGACAAGATCAGGGAAGGAGAGCTGGGAGAGGCCAGAGGGTGGATGGAGTCTGGGATCAGATGGCAGGAGGGAAGGGGTTGTGTCTGTCTCTCATTCCATCTCTGTGTATCTTTCTCCCATACCAGGAGGTTTTCCCAAAGATTTCTCTCTGCTGACTGTTGTCCGGACCCGTCCTGGCCTCCAGGCTCCCCTCCTGACTCTCTACAGTGCCCAGGGTGTCCAACAGCTGGGTCTGGAGCTTGGACGACCTGTTCGCTTTCTATATGAAGACCAGACTGGACGGCCTCAACCCCCGGCCCAACCAGTCTTCCGAGGCCTCAGTCTAGCTGATGGCAAGTGAGTCAATTTCCCCAGTGGCCTGTCTGACCCACATTTTCAGGAGAATGTGCCCAAGGACCCCTGTTCCCTTAACTGAGAAATCCTGCCAACCCTTTTGACCACACAACATTTACCCACTGCTCAAATGCCAGTCACTTCCAGACTAGAGTTTTTGGCTTTCGAATCTCTATCTTTGCTCTGCCTGTAGTACTGGCCTGTTCCTTGGGCAATTTAACTTTTTTTGAACATCAATTTTTATATCTGTAAGAGAGATCAATTAAGAAAACCATCGCAYCCAGCCTGCGCATGGTTAGCACTCAGTAAACGATAGCTATTGTGACCACTACTTTTATTGTTGCCTCCAACACGTCTATCAGCTGTTCCCCACCCTGTTGGCCTCCCTGCTTTCAGTCAKTCAKTCATTCATTCACCTGAACCTCTTTCCGCATGACCAGGTGGCACCGTGTGGCTGTGGCAGTGAAAGGCCAGTCTGTC